CTTTGCTGAGATCTTCTATTTTTCATGTTTCAAGCATGTTTATAATTGCTCACTTAAGTATTTTTTATGATACCTGCTTTAAAATATTTGTCAGGTGGGGATGAGAAAGGTACAGCATCAGTAATATAGTCAATGGTATTGAAGCAGCTTCTATTGAGTGGTGACCAATGGTAGCTACACTTGTGAGCATAGTGTAATGTACAGAATTGCCAAATCACTATGTTATACACCTCAAACTATGGAACACTGTGTTTCAACTACAATCCAATACAAAAAATTGAAAATAATTTGTCAGATAATCCTAACATCTGTTGTCATCTCTTAATTCCATTTGAGATCTTCTTGGTTCTTGGTGTGAGGGGATTTTTCACACCTTGGTGTGACGTGAAACCTGGTTGAACATTCTAAGATAAAACGCTGGGCCTTGGCAGGCCTTCTCTGACACCACTCCTGTGAGTGAGAGGGAGCACTGCTCTTGATTGCCTGGTGGGGGTAGAAGTCCAAGCTCCTCACTGATGACAATCAGGCTGGAAGAAGGGCACCCCATTACTGTTGCACAAGTGGTCCCCAGTAGAGTTGCTTTGTAACTACTGATCAAAGTGCTCAAAGTCCTGACTCTCTACTAGAGCTCCTCAGACACCACCCCAGCAGGTAGCAAAAGGAGCACGTCAATACTGTTAGTAGGGGGTGGAAGTCCAGGACCCCCACATGGTCTGACATCATGGAGACGGGGTCATTGCCACCCGCCGGAGACGCAAGTCCCAGATCTGGCCGTCTAGTTCCTAGCTCCTGCGAGGCTTTCCCTGATACTACCAGAGAGGGGGTGGGGAGGAGGTTGAGGCATCTTGTTACATCCAGGCAAGGGGAACACTTCTGGCCCCACTTGGCCTTTGCTGGCAGGAATGGGGGATGGGCTGCGATTTTCTCACATGGTATTTGACTGGAGTAGACCCATCGTTTAAAAGTTAGTTCTGCCTTACTAGGCTGCCCCTTTCCTGGTACATTTGCTACAGTGAACAGGTTTCAGGTGCTCTGACTGTGCCCATTGGCATCTTTAGGTCGCTGGCTTCTCAAATCTGGGATACATGAGGCAAAAAGAAAATCCAAGGAAATCACCACTTGTATTAGCTTCCTCGGGCTGCCATAACAAAATACTGGAGACTGGGGGGCTTAAACAACAGAAACTTATTTTTTTACAGTCCCAGATGCTGAAAGTCCAAGATCAAGGTGTCAGCAGATTTGGTTTCTCATGAGGTCTCTCTCCTCGGCTTTCAGATGGCCACCTGCTTGCTGTGTCCTCACATGGTCTTCCCCGTGCGCATGCACACATACGTTGTCTGGATTTCCTCCATATAAGGACACTAGTCAGACTAGATTGGGGTCCACCCTAAAGACCTTTTTAACTTAATAACCTCTTTAAAGACCTTATCTCCAAATATACCGTACATTTTGAGGTCCAGGGGATTAGGAATTCAACATGTGAATTTTAGGTGGGACACAAGTCCACCCATTATGACACTAATGTATCCCTCCTCAGGTCCTGAGATACCTAGTCATCCACTTTTTTCTATCCACTTCCAAAGTCCTCCTACGTGTGTTTTACATATAATGTCCAGAATTTTAAATTGTACTTAGTGGGAAGAAAAGGCAAAGTCTGCCTACTCCATCTTCTTGGAAACAGAAGTCTCCTCCTTGCATTTTTCTTTATTTTTGTTTCTTTAAGGACTGGTCTACCACGGTTGGTAAGTGGCAGAGCCAGCTATTCTGACTCCTGCATCCTGGGTCTTTATACCACGTCACATTAGTTTCACTTCAAATAAAATGTATAAAAGATACAGACACACAAAATTTCAAAATATACACAAATAGCAAGACTTTTAACAAGCATTAAAGTTCTTGAACAAACCCTTTCACCAACATGGAAGGGGCTTGCAAGTCATCCCTCTGTCCTGCTAAAAAGCAGAACTGAAAAAACCAACATCTCTTCTTAGAGGCAACACAGTAGTGAGGTTGCCGAGCAAACTGCTGTCCCCCAAATTGAAGACTGACAGGCGAATACATAGGACTACCACTTACTGCAAGAGCAGGGCTGAAGGAGGAACATCTGAATTGTAACTGACAAACTGCTGGAGGCCCGTGCGGACAAGTCTTAAAAAATCCAGGGGGACCCCCAAAATTTGTGAGTTTTCTCTCTAGGAACTCAACCTGGTGTTCATAGGTAAAGAGGAGAGAAAAATTCCGTGCTCAGGAGAGAAAAAGGAACTGTTTTGAATTACAGCAGAGGACTCTGTTCTCCCTAACAAGACCTGCCCTCTCGGGAGGCACTAACCAGTCTAACCTGCTGGGGTTATATCAGAGCCCAACTGACCTGGGGAAAGGGAATCATGCCAGCCCTGCTAGATGTTTCCCACCTAAAAGGAGAAAAAAAAATAAGATTTTTGATAATAAAAGCCCTACTTTTCCTTCCCACAGCACAGCTGTAGATAAAAATGACCCTTGTTCCCCAATGTGCCTAGGGTACAAACAGGACACAGTCAAGAATTTTTAATACAGAGAAAACAGGTGGGTTAATCTTGGTAATGAGAACAAAGCCCTACTGGAGTCTTTGAAGCAGTGTGCATGCCCACCTCCGGATACTGTAGTAAGCGGTTCTCAGGGCAATGCAGTTTTTCAATTCCCTAGCAAATGTAACAATTGACCACAGAGAAAGTCTAGGTAATACACACAAATCACCTTCATATACAAACTGAAACATTAAAACTCACAGCTCCTCTGCCCCAGGAAATCACTGAGGACCTCCCAGATTTCCCATAGTCTCTTATGAGGCCAAATTGTAACTCACTGTCATGGCCAGACCAGCATTTCACTCAATACAACTTCGAAATTGAGAATTGAGAATGAATGAAGTCAAGCTCCCAGTCGAACTGAGAACTATTAGAGGAACAGCCCATCCAGGGCCAGTGCCATGATCAAAGACTCCACCAGGGCTCATGGAGTAACCAGGCTGCTGCAAGAGTCTACTTGTTACTGAAGAGCACATAAGTGAAATCCAGCATGTTCTGATTCTGTAACGTGCACCTTGCTTGAGCTCATTCACGGTCATCGAAGGAAGAGCAATTATACCCCAGCAGTGAATCCCACATCAGGAGCCAATCCTGAAATGCAGGGGCACTGTCATCTAACCACCCACCTGCCCCTCTCCAGGCTCCCTCAATACCACTTTCCTCTTTCCCTGGGACAGTGACATGCTCAATCGAAAGCTTACATTATTTCCCTGGATGCATTATTACCCTTTTCCTTAGGGGGAATTAGACATGATCCCTCTTCCCCTTCTTCCTTGTTCCCTGAAAACTTTTATGGAAATCATAGGAATGAAAGTAAAAAAAATTCCAGAATTCTAGACGCGAGCAAATAATAAGGTTAGAGAATCCTGAACCCCAGGGCTTTTGGGTACCCCCAAACTGCTCTGTCCAACTTAGCTCTACAAAAGTTCCCTCCAGGTCTCTACTTGTTCTGCGATGTCTGGGGTCCAAACTTCTCAGCTCTGTTCACCTCTGCCCAGTAAATGGTGTATTGCACAGTTCAGGCCAAAATAATGACAATTAAAATAAGACCCTTCCGTGAATCCTCTCTTTCTCTTTCACACAATGTCTGATCTAGCAACAATCCCGAGCTCCAGAATCTTCTGGGGAATTTAGCATGACAAATAAAACAAAACCACAGCTTCCTTGGCCTGGCCTCAGTGATTCGATAGGAAAAACATGTCCAATTAAAAAAAAAAAAAAAAAACCCAAGTGATTGTGAAGGGCAGGCGAGTCTGGCTTACCCTGGTTAGTTATGGAAACAGGCACTCTGCTCCACTGCTTGAGCTCTCCTGGTGCCAGGTCAGCCTCTGTTGCTATCATGCAGAGCCAGCTGGCTTGGAAAATGTAGTTGCTTTAACTCCCTGTATTGTTCTCCCATTTAGTACAAAAGGAATACAAAAATCCTAACACCAGAGCTTGAAAGAATTCTTAATGAAAGCAAAAGCTCTCAAAGTTTTCACTCAACACACCTAGTTTACAGATTTTACAACAAATGGCACTTCTTTTTCTCCACCTGGTCGTTGCTGCCAGAGAAGGATACACAGTGATTCAAACCCTGGGTGAGATCGGAAAAGTCTCTCCACACAGCAGTTAATATTATATGCAGATTCAGCCCCAGGAGCAGAGCAATGTTTTTAATACCCACTCGTCAGGTTACATATACCAACCTGGATGTTTTCGGGTTTTTCCTTTAAATTCTACAGCATTTTTCTTAGCAATCCAACAACACACCATGCAAAGCAGAGAGCCAACCTTTAAAATTGCAAGTGTGTTTCAATATTTTATTAAAATAGCATATTTAACCACTGTTAACCAAGAATACGTTAACTTTGTCCCCTCCCACCCCCACCCCAAATACGCAGCACAACACAGTAGTGATTTCAAATATCCTTGATCATGATAACCAACAGAAGTATTTCAAAGTCAAGTTTGCAACTAAAAACTAGACCTTGGAAGAATTCTGAATTAAAAAAAACATAAAGCTCTCCAACAGAATTCTTTTATCTGCCTGAAGAATAAAAGCCGGTGTGTCACCCACCTGACAATACTGCTAAATTTGCTTTTTTTTTTTGTCCTTTATGCATAGTATAATGTCTCATTTATAAGTACCCACTTTTATAAATAAAATTGGCATTTTTCACCCCATTTAATGTTCCTTTTCAGCTTCACAAAGAAACCAGTAAATAAAACTGTCAATGACAGTCACGACATATGCTCTCATAGCAAGATAAAAAACGTGAAAATACGCAAAGATGCATCTACGCTATTTTACATAAAAAGACAGATTTTAAAAAGTGCAAGGCAAAATTTGCAGTTTTCTGAGGGGAGTTTTTAGGCACATCCATTTCTTCAAAGCAAGCTTAGAATGAAATTCCAGTTTGTTCTTCATGACACCTGTTTTAAGTCTTTCTTTAAAAAAAAAAAAGAAAAAAGAAAAAAAAAATACATCCCATCAAGTGTGAAACAGGGAGTCTCCCGTCCCGAGAAGTGAGGTTTTCAGTTATGGCGTGTCCGTCCTTTTTTTATTCTTGCGGGCTTTGGTTTGGGGATGTATTGATTATTTGCCTGGTACTCGAGTTCTTTACGGAAATAGTGGATGGCTTTGTTCAAACCTTCTTCCAGCGGGACCTGTTTAAAGAGAAGGTGAGAAGGGGAGACAAGGTCACTGTTGAAAGAAACTGCAGACCTCCCCGGGGCTTCGCGGGCAGGAAATGCTGATGAGCGGCCTGCCCTCCGCAGGGGCACTCACAGCACCGCGGGTGGGTCACACGGCATCATGGGCTCGCCAGGACAAGGTCCTTCCAAAGCCGCTTTCAGAACGCACTGGGCAATTTAACAAATTACACCCCAGATGGACACAAGATGAGCTCTAATCCCCAAAGACCTGAACCACCTCTTGCTGGTTTGGGGTCTATCTCAGTTTGAATCAACCACAAAGAGCACCTGAAAATAATGCCTGTGTGCATGTGCCTTTCTTTCGGAAGTGTATGATGGAGGGAGGGTGCCCTGGGAAACACCTGTGCGTGACCCACCCACCTCACTGTCCCATGTGACATTCGCTCCCAGTGACCTAAGAGGCTGAGTCTGAGAAGAACCCATGATGACACCGCGGAAGCAATCTTAATTCAGAGCCCCTCCCTGCAGCCAACAGGAAATCCAACCAGCTGCCCATGAGAACAAGGGGAGAAGTCAGGAGGGGAGTGCTGCCAAGGGGCACCCGGAAACTGTTGGGGGAGAAGGGTATGCCTGTTACCTTGACTGTGGTGATGGTTTCACGGGTAAAGAAATACATCAAAATTTATCAAGTTGGACATTTTAAATATAGGCAGTTTGCTATATGCGAATTGTACCTCAACAGCACTGTCAACAAGACACATATGGAAAAATCAAGATGGGTATATGACTAAACGCTTCTTTGGACAAGATCCCTCAGAAACTACTAATTAGCTGAAACTAGTAGTAAGAGAAACCAGTGGTAGATGTCTCATCTTCTAAATGTGTTAGAATGTTATGCATCTAAACTCCAGAAAAATAAAAATACCTACATACCTCACATAATATAAAAGCAATAGTTACTACACAGCAAGTGTACATTTAGCTTTTTAAAAATTATTTTGTTTAAAATAAAGGGGCTCTACTTACAAAAGGACCGATGGCAAATGCCTTCTAAAAACAAAGATCTGCACTTGCTGCTTTGTGTGGTGGGAATTCTTTTTTTTTTTTTTTTTTAAAGATTTTATTTATTTGACAGAGACACAGTGAGAGAGGGAACACAAGCAGGGGGAGTAGGAGAGGGAGAAGCAGGCTTCCCGAGGAGCAGGGAGCCCGATGTGGGGCTCGATCCCAGGACCCCGGGATCATGACCTGAGCTGAAGGCAGACGCTTAACGACTGAGCCACCCAGGCGCCCCATTGTGGCGGGAATTCTTATGTATTAAATTTTGTCTGGGCATGAGCATATTTTTAGTGCACTCAACAAATCCCTGTGGCCTTCAATCACTCAGACCTGTAGATTCCACGATAAAATAAGATCGGACTGGAACTCTCAAGTCCCTTTAAGATTCAACACTGTAGGATTCTACTCAGCTCTCTGGAGGGCAGCAGAAGAGACCGCCCCAAAACATGACTGTGGGATCTCAGGACCACATCACCCCCAAATCTGCCACTTTGATAGGTATATGGACTGTGCTGGGCTGCAGCCTCTTGAACAAGTGCAGGGTGAGGCTCTCTCTGAACTCCTCCAACCAGACAGGCCCTCCAACAGAAATCCAGCTGTCCTGAGTCCCCTCCCAGAGGTGTCATCAACTAGGGAGCACTGACTCTCACCACAGGAGAGGGCACTAGACCTGGACACCAGGTAAACTGTCACTGGCTCTTTTTTTTTTTTAAATATATTATTTATTTATTTGACAGAGAGAGACACAGCGAGAGAGGGAACAGAACCAGGGGGGAGTGGGAGAGGGAGAAGCAGGCCTCCCACTGAGCAGAGAGCCCGATGCGGGACTCGATCCCAGGACCCTGGGATCACGACCTGAGCCGAAAGCAGACGCTTAACCATCTGAGCCACCCAGGCGCCCTGTCACTGGCTCTCTTATCTCCTATCTGTTCTTCTAAGGGCCCATTCACAGTTCTTTTTTTTAAAGATTTTATTTATTTGAGAGAGAGAGAGAATGAGAGAGAGCGAGCATGAGAGAGGGGAGGGTCAGAGGGAGAAGCAGACTCCCCACTGAGCAGGAAGGCCGATGCGGGACTCGATCCCGGGACTCCAGGATCATGAGCCGAAGGCAGTCGCTTAACCCACTGAACCACCCAGGCGCCCCCATTCACCGTTCTTAAAAATCATTTACTGTCCTCTAAGAGGCCTATGTGCCCCTCTTCTTTCCCTATTAAGATGGTATTTAAACCTAAATTCTAAAGCCACCTCTTGAGTTACTTATTCTTCCCTGGGTATCTCCCGCATCTACCTGCAGGACACACACTAATCTACCTGCACAGTTTCCCACAGGCCACATGGAGTCTAACTTAGTCTAGGAGCAACAGAAAGGCATGGAGGGTTACCGCTCCCTGGACTTTGGTCTCTCATACTCCCAACCTGGTGTTCCACCTTCCTGGGAACTGGGGTGACCTGCTTGCCCCGGTTGACACAGCAACCTCGTCCAACCCTGCATGTCCAAGGACATCCTGGGCCGAGTGGAGACAGGCAGGTCAGCCAGGGCGACCCAGGCCCAGAGTGCATGCAGCCATTGCCCTGGATCCTTCTTTCATGGAGTAAGCCATGTGCGTGTGCAAGTTTACAAAAGCAGACTCCACAGTGGGCTCCCATTTCCCCTGTCACTGAGTGACACACAGGAAAGGAGAAGCCATATACCAGCCTGGAGAAAACCCTACGTCCTGTCCGCCCAAGCACGCCAGCGCCCACAAGGACCCGCCATGGGCCTTTGTCGACAGGGCAGTGTCGGCCATGCACTCACCACAGGCTCCCACGCCAGCATCATCTTCGCTTTTCTGATGTCTGGTTTTCTTTTCTGTGGGTCATCCTGGGCTTCGGAGAGAAACTGAATCTCACTTCCACTACCTGAATTAAGAAAAAAGAAAGGTAAGAGAATCACAAACCACTCCAGGTGGGACTTTTACTGTATGCCTCAAAGTGAAATTCCCTCCATGCAGTGAATAAGGGTGCAGATGACGGAATGCATTTCCCATGGAGTCACTGAGTCACACGGGGGACTGTACCTCTGGCCCCATGAGAACTGGGTGGGAGGCAGTCACTCCTGAGAAAAAGGGCAGGGCTCCCTAGCTGCCCGCTCCCAGGCAGACCACCCACCATCAGCTAACACAGCAGGCATGCCCACAGAGCCAGACTCCAAAGTAAGTAAAAGTGGCAAACGTGGTGTCATCTGTGATCCGATGGCCTCACTGAGCCACATATGAGGCATTCACACACTGCAGGAGCCCCTGGCCTGGAAGTGGGCTGTCTTCCAACGTGTTTAACCAAGTAGAGTGCAGGAGGAATGACTGTGGGCCAGTTCCAGGCTGACGCCTTATGGAAGACCTAACTATTTATGCACCTGCAGGTGTGAGCCCTGAGCCAACACATAAGATGTCCAGCTACCGTGCTGGCCAGCAGAATGAAGCCACGCGAGGGACCATCGGCAAAGACCTGCAGAAGAAACGCCCAGCGGAGGCCAGCCCCGGGCACAGAATCACAAACCAATACAACGGTTGCTGTTGTAAGCCTCTGCAGTTTGGAGTGGTGTGCTCCTCAGCCTTTCACAGAACCGTAGTGATTATAATGCCCAAGGATCTTGTCAAAATGCAGATTCTGATCCAGAAGACATGGCTGGGGTGTGTTATTCTGCATTTCTAACAAGCATCTGGGTGACGCTGAAGATGCTGGCCCCTGGGCCCCGCTCGAGATAGAGGTTTGGGATAGCCTAGATCCTGGACAAACTGCTATCTGAGCACATCCCTTCCTTACCTGGGTAGAGACAGGCAGACCCAGAGTGGGAAAGCTGGGGAAGTACATCTCGGGGAGGCTGCTGGGGCCATGAGATCCTGCAATTTATGACCAAGGATGGCCAGCCCCCCTCCTGTCCGAGTGTCCAGAGCTGATAAGAACATGCTGGTAGATGACAGCTCCAACTCAGGAAGGACAGCCCCCAAGAGTCAACCCAGCTAAGTATGGGGTCTAGACAAGCACTTGAGCACATCCTACATCAGGCTTACCCCAGTCTAGCCAGCCACACTCCAATCTGGTTGTGTTCTGACTCAAATTTCTTGGTCAACCATGGAAAACAGATCATTCCCCCCCTCCCCAAAAGTCAGGACTTCCCAGAGCTCTAGTAAGCCTGCTGATGTGACAAAGGGCTCACCCACCGTGCATCTGCAACGCAAGTGCTGTCTGAAAACACAAAAGCTTCTTCTAACTTTCAGACACGCCCCTGATTGGGGTTACTCCCAGTGTCTACACTGCCGCCAACATGTCATGGCTAGGTTGGCCGGAACTGCCAAGAACTTGAAACTCGCCAGCAGATTCCATCAGAAACACACAAGCTGGTACTGTTCCCTCTTGGCTCTTGGAAATCTCCTTCTCATCACTGTCCGTGTTTGGAAATCCAACACTTGTTACTTGTGCAGAGTGATCTACCACTATCCCATCTCAAGCACTGGGAACAAATCTACTCCTCCCACTCCACCCCAACCTGCTGATACAACTGTGAACACAACCAACCTCCCTTCCCACGCTCCTTCATCTTTATCTTTCCATTACTTAATTAAAGACTCAGAAGACAATTAAGTGTTCCTGAAAAGTTCTGCTTTTTATCCAATTCAATTAGCTTGTATTAATTACACATTTTCTAATCAGGGGGTTATTAACTGATAGGGTGAGTGCAGCCAATTTCACTCAGTGACGTGTTTATCTTACTTACCAACAAGGTTTTTAATTAACTGAGCAAATTCTAGGATTGTGTGTTCTTCCGGGTTCCCCTAAAGAAGAAATGGTTGCTGGTTATAAGTATAATCACAACAGCAAAGACCACCACCCAAACCACATGCATGTCTTCCAAGTATCCATGGGCTGACTCTGGCATCTTGGAAAGTCATGAGGCTCCTGGCTCTTCATGTTTCCTCGGGTGCTTCCCTGATCTGGATGATGACTGATCCGCCTAGTGAAGTGCTAAACTGTGTCTGGTCCTGCTTTTGTCCTCTAGACTAACTGTCTGTTGACAAGAATGCCCCTCGGCTAGGTCAAGAGCATCTAATATGGACACACGGTATCTGGCCAAGAGACAGGACGATTTCTGTATCTAACGTTACCATAACTGCATTGTCACTTGGCATAAAAGTTTGGGTCTGCAAAACGAGCTCTCCTAAGACAATATATTTCCCTCAGGGTGCACTGTGTCAACAACTTAAGCAATAACAGACTTGCTTACTTGCACATGGGAGCTGTAAAGGAACCAAAATGCACTCGCAGATGAGGGCTCTGGGCAGCCAGAGGGAAAGCCTCAATGTGGTTTATAGAGTGAGCTTGCCCTTAGGGGCCATCAAAGAAAACCATTTTCTCCTTTTCTTCCTTCCATCACACAGGACGGCGGCCACTGCCCCTCTTCCCTTCCCAATCCTGCTACTCTTGTTTGCCACCCCCTCCCCATCGTAAGAGACCACCATCAAGTGTGACAATTAGGTGTCCTATATACGCTGTACCCCCAACTTCCTGATCTGGCCTGGAGCTGGAAGGGACCAAGTCCTACATATGAGCACTAAGAAAGGCCTGACTAGCAAAGTGGAGTGACAGGAACTCGGGAGGGAAGGGCTCCGTCTTTGTCAGCACTACGTGCAGACACTCTTCAGACTTTGGGGAAGACGGGTTTCTCCCAGGGATGGGAGTTCCCAAAGGGCCCTGTGTCAAGGCCCCTCAGAAAGAATGAAGGTACCTAGTACCTAAAGAAAAGACTGTGGTTACTTGGGGAGTGGGGGACATCACTGACAACATCACCATGTTAAAGGGCCTGGAGCAACACCCAGGATAAAGGTGGCCCGGCCTTGACAGCATCAGGTAGGTAAAGGCTCGGAAGAAACAGGCTCACACGACACGTCTCATTCTAATTTCATGTTCTTTGAAAAGTGCATGAAGGCAGCCCTGGCTGGTGCATGCTGACCCATGAATCGGTCAACAGTCTGACAAGGGAATGAGGTCTCTACCTTTCCTACTTGGTAAGAACTCCCTCCCAACTCGGTGAAAAATGAATGCGACAGAACATGCTTCAGATTGCTGGTTACAAAGAAAAGTACAAAGAAAGGTTTTTGAGTGAAGTGGTTTTGAAGAATCAGCAGGCATGGCCACACCTATGAACCTTTAAACCTTGTAGGAAGCAGGAGAGGTGGTTTGGGAGAAGCACCTGAAGCCGATCCAAGGCTTGTCAAGGTGAGGCCATGGCTCCCAATAAGCTAATGTCAGGGGCCGTTGGCAGAAACAGAGCATTTGAATGATGGGCAATCTGCACTGGACACTTCACATTTTAAACAAGATGGAATGAAGCTCTTCAGAGGACGGTGAGTGAGAGGGTAGGAAGACTCCAGACATGAACATGAACTCTGGCTGAGAGCTGGGGAGGAGGAGACTCAGAGGGTATGACCCTGCCCTCCAAATCCTTGGAAAGTTACCCCAACTGCGGGAGGCATTGGATTAGCTTGAATGGCCTCCACGCTGAGAAGTAAGGCCAGTGGGTAGCTCACAGAGAACATGATTGTAGTTCTAAATCTAAGGAAATGCTTCCTGCCAATTAGAACTGGCCAGAGACAGAATGAAGTGCTTTGAAGAGATGCATGTTCACCAAGCAGTAAAACTGCTTAAAAACACAGAGTGCAAGAACCTTACGATCCCTCCAAGAGGGAGATTCTGGGACCACAGGAAGCAATGAAGGAAGAAGCAACAAAGGTGCCCCCAGAGCAGCCAGCTGAATTATACATGATCAGAACCTGGGACACATTCTTAACCTCCGTGATCTAAAGCTCACTTAATCAAGTCTTCCAGAGATTAGATTATGCCAAACAACGGAGAAAGGAATGCACACAAAAAACTGTCCATCTACTGTCACCAAAGGCTTTCACAAATTTCCAGACCCAGGCCCTTCAGGATGACAGAGGTGGGTGAGTGTTTGTCACACCACTCACCCATGCCTTGCAGACGTTTTACTCCTTTGCACGCTCTTATTTTATGTTTTTCCCCTCTACTATTCAGCAAGCAAACACACGCATGCCCTACGTGTGCTGCCGGCAAAGAAAGCAAAGGTTGCTGGGCTCTTTATGGTCTCACAAAAGCACACAACTCTGACCTGTTCCAGGGGGTGTGGAAGGAGTGGAAGCACTCACCAGGTTGACCGGGCTGCTGACGTTGCTGTTCATGAGAGCCACGAGGCCGTTCACCAGATCGCTGGAAAAGAACAGAAGGCCGGGTCAGGCGCCGCAGCATGCAGGTGCCGGGCAGACCCACGCCACCTCCCAGAAGAAAACCAAACCCCAAATGGAAAGCCGATGTCAAAACAAAATCCTGCAAATAAGCGGCGTTGAGAATGCTGAAGTATTCATGGATGATGATATGACATCTGGAATTCGCTCTCAGCGTGTGGGGTAGAGATGGCTAAACAGGAATGGAAGCAACGGATGGGCTTAAGTTCTCTACTTTCGTCTACTTCTGAAACCCTTTGACGATTGGAAAATAAAAATAAAACAGACATATGCCCCCAAGAGATGGTGTTAATACAGTTTCTGATGAAAAGTCCATGTTTAAATGTGAGCCCACGTAGCTGGTCCATATGAAAAAGCAATGATTTGAAAGAAAAAAAAAAAACCAGTAAGACCCACTGAAATGAATGCACTCCAGTATGTAATTCTCATACTGGCAAATCACAGATAAAGCCAAACAACACAGTGTTGAAATAAACCAGACCACTGCTCCCTACCCCCTCACCTTCAAATCCCCCCCCACCCCTCGCCGCCCCCCGAGACTCCTCGCATGAACGGTCGGGGACCTGGATGTTTCAGATGGATCGTGACCGACTGGGCCATGAAGGTGAAGAGAAGTAAGCAAACTTTCGCTTACCAAGGTTTGGTTCTTATTTTCAGAGGCTTTAAAGTGTGGCTCTGTTAAAAAAAAGTTACTTCGTAAAAATGACACCTCACTGCTACACACGAGCATGTTCTCTACGTCTACTTTCATTAGCTGTACTTCTCAGAAGACTTTTAAAGTTCTGTTCTGGTGATCCAAATGCAGTCTGCGTTGAAACCTTCCCTTCCTCCTCCTCCATCATTACCAGCAAGGAGCAGGTTACTATGGTCAACTTCAAAACAAAACCTGTTTTTGCTTTCCTTTTCGTCCAAAAAAAAAGGGGGGGGGCGGGGTATTTGGCAAACAGTTAAACTATTTTCTGAATTTTTGTTTCTGATGATTGGGTATTTTAAGTGAACATGCCTAAATAGTCCGTTCCATTCTCATAGGTCAAGCACAAATGCAAGGAACTGCTGATTTTGGATGACTTTTCTAGAAACTGGCAAAAAGTCACTTCATCACGATGGCAGTAATTACTATTCTATTACATCACAACACATCTCTCACGGCATAGGTCTCTGCATAGTCGTCAGAAGACGTTAAAAGCTGCCATTCACCAGCATCCACAATCCATTTTAATACTGAAATGCCAGGGGGTCCACGTGAAGCTGGAAGACAATGGACTCATGCAATCATCCTCGTGGTGGGGGGCATGCATCTTTTATGTAATCAGCTGGCAACTTTTAAGGTCAAAATTGCATAGATCACACCCATTTAACCTGAAGCTCTTTAAAAGTGTCATTTTGACAAAGTGACTTTTTTAAAAAAAAGACAGCACGCCTTTGTTGTGGGGATGAGGCCATAACCTGACCAGGAAAACATCAGACACAGTCATGCCAAGATGTGAATGTGTATGGTATGGTCACCCGGACCTCAGAAACCGGGAAATGCCACTTCAAGGCGATCGTGGATTCTGGAAACAGTTAACTTAGTAAGGTAACCATAGATTCAGACGTTGTGCATTCTTAACTACAAAACTGTTTCTAAAACAAAAACAAAAACAAAAAAACCCCAGCTTATTAAAACTAGCAAAACTAACTTATCTGAGTCTTAAATAATAAAACTGGGAAGTCAGGAAAGCTGTCTGAGTTTGGTATGTCATGGAAACACATCAGGGCAGGCCACGCACTGCGGGCACGTTCACTCCTGAGCTGGGATGGTGTGCGGCATGTGCACTGCTGAATTCTTAACATCTTTTAATTACTGGCAGAAAAAGTCTGAGGCCCTTTTAAATGAATTCTGTATGTGTTGCCTTTGAAGTAAATGAGCACAGTTAAGAAGAGTGAGTTCTAACTGCTTTGCCTTTTACTGCAGTCTCCCTGGCACTTTGCGAGCTGTCACAGCTGGAGAAGTTTGGAGGCCACCGGTGAGGTGGTTCTAGGTAATGTCACGTCACGGACGACCGCACGACTCCCTCACCATGTGCACAGAGGAGGGGGGTGAGGTGGGCGAAGGTGGGTGGGATGGAAGGTGTGTTATTATGAAAAGACAGTACTCAATACACAAAGTCCAATTAAGATGGCCCGGATACAGAATCTGGCTTGATGCATTTTCTCTGAGCACAAGGTTCCTGGGGTAACTGCTTTGAAATGAAAACAGTCCTAGAGGGATCCTGCTATTTCCTGGTTAAATCTCTTCTTAGGATATTCGGGCACCAAAATGTGCCAGCTATATTTTACTCCCAGGCTTTGTGTCCTGCTTGGCAAGACACTCATGGCTGGGGAGAAAAAAAACACTGACTGTGATGTACGTTTATTCATAGCTTTCTTTTAGACTAACTGTGAAAACTGACAGATGTGTTTAAGAAAAAAATCTACAGTGGCTGTTTTTATTTTTATTAATTTTTTCCCCTAGCAGTTATTTTTCTCAAAGAGGCTTCTCCCTAGGATTCTCACATAATCAGACAAAAGTCTACGTGGTTGCTCTGGCCAAGGTGGCCCAGACCTGCACCCCCGCTGCCACCACTTCACGGTTACAGCACCCCGGGATGCCCTCGGGACACTCCAGGAGCAGCATTTTCCTGCTGTGCGTGCGGCCGTCACCCTGCCTGACAGGCATTCCCGGGTATTTACATTGCACAGTAAAAATATATGGTACCAAAATACAGAACTGGATTTTACAATGATTTGGGATATCAGAAACTTGTACAGAATTCATAGTAACCGTGTCATGTGGGCAAATATTTTGTTCTATGCAACTGATTATAGAGTAAACTCTTCTCCCAGAACCCAAACTGCATTTTAAAATATCACCAACTGAACTGGCCAACAAGAATACGAGACTTAGGAGGATTAACAAGAAAACGATAATAATTACCACTGAGACTATTCGACAAGGTTCTCACATGTATTTTTACCCGCATTTAGGTCCCGCATAAAATCTGACAGGAGGATGGTCTACCTCATCTTTTCCTTAATGAGGACAATCTCACCCGCCCCAGAAACCCACGTTTAAGACGGGTGTGTTTCAGCTCCTGCAGGTTTGCTGGATGAGTAAGGCCAGCTCTCCAACTGGTGTGATCTGAAATCAAGTCGCCCTCAGGAACTGGGCAAGTTTCCCTACGAAACACTAGGTGGCAGTAAAAGATTAGCACATGAGTCATAAATGCCTCAGACTTAACGTGTAAAATTTTAATTTTTTTTTTTTTTTTTTAAGATTTTAAGTAATCTCTATACCCAACAAGGGCCTCGAACTTACAACCCTGAGATTAAGAGTCGCATGCTCCACCAACTGAGCCAGCCAGGAGCCCCGAAAATTTTACCTTTTAAACAGAGAACCCCAAGGGCTTTCCCATCTGAAAATTAAAATGGACTTTTAACCGAGCCATGTTAGAGATGTGAAAATAATGAACATATCGAACAGACGCGGGCTGCTTGGTCTGCACCACCTCTGCTGGGAGTGGCGCTAAGGCGGACTTGGCGCGCAGCGGGCCCAGCTGCCTTACCTGACGTACTGGAACGCCCTCGTCTGCGACCCGGACCCGTACACCTAGGAGGAAAGCGACAGTTAGGCCTCCGAGAAAACCACACTGTAGCGGGAAAACGGGTTTCCTTAAAACTCCAGGGCCACAGACCGACCTCCGAACTGACGCTGAAGGGGCAGCGATGCTACAACCCACTCGGCACCTCCAAGTTAGGCCCCGACAGTGGGAAAGCGCATGCGTCCATGTATCAAGTCTGTCCTTCCAAGTCAGTAGTGGAAGGAGTCGGCTTCTGTTACGGTCTTGTGACGCGTCGGGGATTACGTTAGGTTCTGGGGTCTCCAAGCCCAGCAGGGTGGCGGCCGCACACACAGCAGGAAGCAGTACCTAGAACCCGGGTCCTGCACCCTGACAGCTGGGCGCCCAGTCAGACCAGCCCAGAATCTCTGGGGAGGAAGTGGCGGGCAGCTTGGTACTTTTACAGCCCTGGGTGAGTCTAACATGCAGCCAAGTTTGAGAACGACCCAGGATAGGAGACGGAGGTGGCGGCGGAAGGAAGGGAGGGAGGGAGGGAGGGAGGAAAGAAGGGCCCTCACGCTCCATTTGTGTCTGTTGCCACATGTCCAGGCCTGTACTCAGTTCCTTTTCTCCACAGACCCTCTTGTCTGAATGTTCCCTCCTTGTGACACTTCTCTGGCTCATTCCGCCAGCCAGAACGAACAGCTCTGCCCTTCAAGCTCAGCCATTCTCCCCTATTCCTCTAGACTCTGCCACTCATACCAGCTTCCCGCAGTGAGCTCCTGGGGACAGGTACAGTGTCTGACTCACCTGCGCCCCACTGCACCCTGCATACCACCAGTGCTCCATGAACGCATACTGAACAATAACCTTGTGGGGTCTGCAGTGTCTACCACGTGGTTAGAACAAAGAGACTGAAGCAGAGCCTCTTTGAGGCACTCCCTCACCCTACAGTCACAGAGAAGGAGCCAGGGGGTTTTTGCTTGCTTTCTTGCTTGCAGTGGTGGAAAGGCGGCAGCTGGGAGGAGGGACTGCCTTCTAGAACAGCCTGCCTCCCAAGCCCGGAAGAGAACAACACTCTTGCCTCCGTCACTGGCCACCTGATGCCAAAGAGGAGCCAGAGGCCAACAGCTCCACAGCCCAGACTAGCCCCACTGGCCTTGCTTTCCAACAGGGCTCCCCAGGGCGCAGGCCACCAGGTTTGAGAGGCAAATCGGAAGGAACAGGAAAGGGAAGAAAAGCATGCTTCACAGGCACCCGCTGCCTTTTTCTTTTTTTAAAAGCAGGGTTAGAAGGCTGCTTTTGTTATCTTAATAAGCATTCGGATATAACAATGTCAAAGGGGCATCGGATTTACCTACTTAGGCAGAGGCCCTCCCAGTGAGAAGAGGCTGGGGAAGTGATTTACAGAGCTTTCTGTCTACAAGACCCAAGTGCAACCACCAAACTCAGTAAAGAAACGTTGAAGAAAGATGAATGGGTCTCTGAGAAGCAGACTCACCCTTCCTTGGCAATTCTGCCTGAGCCCAATTCCCTGGTCATGCTGACCCTTCTGATACATCTGGGCAAGTCAGGAAGGAAGCCATGGGCCCAGTAAGTAGGACGTAGGATGTCCTTTCTTTCCTCCTTCCCACCGCCCCTGATCAGGGGATTTGCTGCTGCATGCCGGCAACATCCACAGAGAACCCACCATGCGTGAACAGCGACGGCCTTCAACACGCCCGTGAAGGCTTGGTCTTCACTCCCATTAGCTCTCTGAGCTGTGATGTACCAGAGCTGACCCACAGAAAAACACGCAGGTGCAGTTTTCAGTCCCACTGGATGTGAGAGAAGGAACGTGACTCGGCGCTGTGTGCTGGCTGAGCCCACAGCCAGGGGGAGGTGAATGGGCCGCCAAGGTTAGGATTCTGAAGAACCACCCCAAACACCTTCCTCAGCAAAAGGAACAAGAGAATCATGATGGCGACACTCAGTGGCCTGAATGTCACAAAATGGCATAAACCGAAAGGTTTAGAGCCTCGTACTGGGAAGCCCCAAAAACCTAGATTGAAATAAGCTGTGTCTACAGAGTTTCACACCGCTGCCTTGTTCAGAGTGCCCTCCTAGAGGGGGCAGTGATGCCCAGAAGGCCAGGGTGTCTTCAGGCACCCCTCCCTAACCTGACTCCATCACCATAAGGTTCCAGGGGCCTAGAGCTGAGCTGCAGAGGGGAGCACAGCCTGGTCCCTTCAGGTCCAGTGACGAAAGCCCCTCAGCAGATACCCTGCCACTGAGGTCCCACCTGATGTCCACATGGGTGGCAAATGGGCCTCTGGGAAAAAGCCCACGTTACAGAAGGAGCCAATGGAAGGGCCCCTCTCCCCGGGCTGTGGCAGGAATGCGTGGATCTTGGGGACCCCCATGCACAACTCTCCTGGGTCCTGTCGATAATTGACCTTGAAGACATGCCCCAGCGTGTGCAGGTAGTTAAAATGCAATGTCAGTGGTGCCCCTGGACCCTTCCTCCCTGGCATCTTTATAAAGTCCTGTTGGATTTAAGTTTCTGTAGTGTGTCCTATTGTTCATCTCTATTTTGGTTTAAATCAGCCTCCCTACATACATCTGCAGTATTTACAACACAATAATTTTTAATTCCTGTGTGTATTATTTTCACTATGCAAGCGTGCTACATGAATAAGTTAAGTAAAAAAGAGTGCACATGTGAGAGAGAAGATGCGATCCCACCTCCCCCAGCAAATATGCCCACCCTGACTTCAGGAACAGCTGGAAGCCCTGCACAGCCCCCTGCCTGACGATAAGGCACACCAGGGCACAGACCGGATCTCACTCACAGACCTGCCCAAAAGTAGATAAGCAACAGATGCTACCACATGAGAAACAAAGGGCCTGGTGCTGACGGTGAACACCCTGCCCGGCTCCCATGGCCGCCTTGTCTTCCTCCATGAGAAGACAAGCCAGGCTTTTAGCAGCTCTGCCTTCACTTCCCAGAACGACAGAGGTGCAAGGAGATTCAGGTCCCTGTTCAGTCTGGATAACCAGGGCTGTGTGCAGGTCAAAGCGGCATGGTGATTCAGGAACCACCAAAAGGGCGAGGTAAACCGGTGGGCAGGCAGGCAGCCAAGAGCACAAGGAGTACTACCAGGGAGCACTGCAGCGGGGGGAGGGGGGAGACAGAACACCACAGGGGAGCACTGCAGAGGAGCACCTTGGGAGAGAACGGGGGGCACGAGGAGCACTTTGGGGGGCACGAGGGGCACTTTGAGGGGCATGGGGAGCACTATAGGGGAGCATAGGAAGCAGCATAAAGAGCACTGCAGGGGGGCACAAAGAACATGGGGGGCATGGAGAGCACTATGGGGGAGTATGGAGAACACTGCAGGGGAGCACTAGAGGGGAGCACAAAGAGCACCACAGGGAACTCGCCCGGGAGCATAAGGAACATGGCGGGGGGGGGGGAAGGTGAGGCATGAGAAGCACTATGCCAACCCCAACCCCAACCCCACTGCTGTGTCCCATGTGCTTCCATGAACAAAGGCCCAAAGTTAGGGATCACTTCCGATACCACACTATAGATATAAAGGGTAAATAAAATGTAGATTCTGGTCTAAGAAGTATGGTTTCTCCAAAATTTCCCTCTAGAAAAAAACAGCAAGCCTTTTTTAAAAGATACAGACCGTGACTCAAACCCCAAATCTGCCACATCTGGAAAAATTCACCTCAATCAAGTTGTTCTCTCACCTGCAAACTGGAATGAATCACAGTGAGGTGAGAAAACAGAATTAAACCCTAATGCGAATGTGCGCATGCTCACAACATGTGAGCACGCTCAAGAGCTTTGCCTGAAATATGAGCTCAAGTCTCTTCAAGATAGACTTAATGAGCTAGCTCTACCTGAACTGTGCCATCTACTTTGTAAACTTTCCAAACTGGAACACAGTATTTTCTGAGCTTTGTGAGCTCAAGCTAGAATACAGCTTCTGTGCGTGACTCGCAGAACTGAGCACAATCCTCCCCGAGTTACCCTGACAGACCTCTGTGACTCAAGATGTGGCGACAGGCCCAAAGGATGAAATCTGCCCCGAGGTAAGATGACAGAGGGCTTCAGGAAAGGCAAGTGAGAATAGTAACCCAGCTTGGAAAAGGGAAGGCGAGATACTGAGGGGCCACAAAAGAGGCCTTTAGTCTTGGAAAGAACATGTTGGAAACAGAGCAGGAAAGGATGGATGGGCCTCCTTACTCTCCTTCCCTGATAAACCAAGTGCTCCCGAAGCTGGGCTGGACTAAGAGTCATAACGCAGGACCCCCTCATCCAGAACTTCTCCACAAAGCCGTCTGACAAAAGCAACGCCATCTCAAAGAGACAGCAAAGGATGAAGAGCGGCTTCATCAAAACACTGAGGGGACAGAATTCTGTGTGACAAGAGGGACCACACACTTCTGAAAGGCCTCCCTGAGGACTCCTGTCACCAGGGGTGTCTAGAAAAGACAAAACGCAGCGTGTCTGGGACTAGCTGCCGCCCTGCTCCTCGGTCCCTGGCACTGAGGCGACAACACATGCGTTCTCTCCGGCTGCCCACAGTGGGTGCTTTCTTGGGCGGGCCCACCTGATGCTGGGGCCCTGGCTGTTGCCCAGGAGGCAATCCATCAAAAAGCCCTTTCTCAGAAGGCTTTTAATAGTTCGCTCTGCAAACGAAGCAGCTCTGATCGGGGGCGGGAGGAGACTTCATGAGGGCAGTGGCTAAAACAGCTCCAGGAGTGTCCCTGAGTGTCCCTGAGGGTAAGGAGTTCCCCACCAAGCAGCTGGGCTGAGGGGTCCCCATGAAGGAACCCTTGGGACCCAAACAGCAGGCAGAGGGGAGCATGGAGGAGAGGCAACTTCACCTTGCAGGAACACTACGATCACGACTTCCAGAACAAGCCACAGAGCACTTGTGCTCATCACAAAGGCAAGCGGCCACTATAAACCCGATCCTCAGCTTGACCAGCATTTATCACAGGCCGCCTGGTCGCCAGGCACCCTTCTGGCAGCTGCGGACACAGCCATGAATGAAACCAGGTCCTGATTTCAAAGCGCTTACACTCGAAAGGGGGCTGGGGGCTGGAAAAGAATACTTCAGTTGCTGAGAAGTGCAATGAAAACCACAGAAAGCACGGTTAGGAGGCGCAGAGCGGCGGCTGGGTGTCATTACATGTAGAATGGTTCAGCGCTTCCCTGCTGAGAGGATGACTGAACAGGGAGAGGCCTGGAAGGAGCGTGCTCCTGGGACAGGTGGGAGCAAGGGGCTGAGCTTGCAGAGCAGCAGGGCTGAAGCTGAGGTGCACGGGGGGCCCGTGAATCAGGCTCTCAGCAGATGAAAGCCCCCCGGAGCTGCTACTTTTCTTCAGAGGCTCCCCTAGCTGCTGGGTGGAGAGACCCCAACAGGGAGAATGAGTGGCTAGGAGGCCGGGGCAATAAACTGGGGGCGCACGGCAGTGAGGCTGGGGGAAGCGGGAGAAGAGGTGGACGGGGCCGGATTCTGGATCTTAGGGCAAGAGCACCAGGCCGTATCACTGTAGCAGTATGCAGTGTGAGAAGGACAGCACCCAGGGTGACCACGGCATGGCCGTCTGCAGGCCCTGAGGCACAGAGCTAGCAGCTGGTAGGGGGAGGGAAGAGCAGGGGCGGGGCACTGGCACCCTGAGATGGGGTATGGATTCACCTCTCGCCTGCAACGTGTTCAGCAAAAGTCACCTGTAACACGTGTCTTGCCCTGGGCTGGGGGCGGGGGGAGCATACCATTTTGTAGCAGGCTAAGCTTTTTGTTCTGAATTGGCAGCCATGTAGCTAACCCATCCAAGAAAAAACGAGCACCATGGAGAATAGTGATCAAGAGCAGAGGCTCTGGCTCAGACACCGGCAGCCACCGTCCGGCCACGTAAGCTTGGGCGATTCCTCTAACCTCCGTGCTTTGGTCTCGCCATCTGGACCATGGGCTAATAACAGAACCTGGGCCCCACACATCTGTTGTGAGCACTGAGTGAAGTGAATTAATGGGTGTGAACATCACTGAACAGAAAACAGTAACCTTACTCTACTGAGAGACAGACAGATGGATATGTACAGACACAGAGCTGTAACTTTCCCTTTGGAACCCACTCAGCTGATAAGCAAACCCTCCTGCAGTTTTCAGAGTAACAAGATGAAAACAAGTGTTTGGATGCCCACCAAACACTAAGCCTGAGAGGATGCAGAGGCCTGGAAGAGGATGCTGAGGCAGACAGGAGGAGGATGCTGAGGCTGGAAGAGGATGCTGAGGCAGACAGGAGGAGGAGGAATGAGAAAAGCAAGAGGACAGAGGAGCAGAAGAGGAGAGGAAGAGAACACCAAGAATTCAGCTAAACCAAAGAAAACCAACAGAACTGAATCAGCAAACCCTTTGTAGAGCAGGAGAGGACCACTCCTCCCTGAGGATGGGACAGGGGCGGTGGGGACGTGTGTGGAACGAGCCACCCACCCTAATGCAGGGTGGGTATCTGAGGGTGCTCACCTGTACCATACACTCAAACCACTGACCCCAGACCACTGAGGTCCAGAAGGTGGGCTCCAGAAGGCTCCCAGGTTGAGCCTGACAAGCAGAGGGCATGCTTCTGGGCATCACCAAGAAAACTGCCAAGACCTGCCCCAGATACCTCACTTCTCAGCAACCTGAGGGGCACCGAGGATACACATGGCCCTGGCTATAGCCTGTGGGCCAGGAGAACATCCAGAAAGGTCTTTGCCTGCAGGCTGGTGCAGGCAGACGCACCCCGAGGCCCGGGCCACGTGGACCAGGCTGCAGCCCACGAACTAGGCAAGGCCACCAAGGCTCTGTCACTCTTCTAGATCCCAGCCCTGCACCTTCCCTCCTTGTCACTAAGGGCAGTGGGATGTACCCAAGGCAAAGGGGCAACCTCAGGAAAGTAACTGCCTGAACCAAGAGGCACTGCTCCTTTGTCACTTGCTGGTAGACAGCTAACTCTGCCCCCCACCCGCCCCCTCCCCCCAAGGCCGGCACATACCGTAAGCGGCTCGCCCTGCAGTGCCTGCAGGATGAAGTTGCTGACGACCCGGCCATCATTCATGTGCATGCGTGGCCCAAAGGTGTTGAAGATCCTGGCCACTCGCACTTCAACGCCTTCCTGGAACAGGAGAAGAGGATGTGGGATGCATTTCATTTCACCTCATGTTTCCGATGCCTGGCCCATAAAGCAAGTCTGAAAACGCCCTGCTTTTTGCTCCCAGATGAAAGTGGCTTTCTGGTAGTGTCTACATAATACATTCACTAACAAATCTGAACACTGCACAGAGTTATACCAAACTCGAATGCATCCTCGATTCCACCCCCATCAGGCCATCGACCTCCCAGCAGAGAACCTGCAAGGCAGAGAACCTGCAAGGCAGCAAGCAGTAAAAGGGGAAAAAGGTTTGTAGAACATTTTTTTCCTAGTAAATAAATATTTCCCAAATAGGGCCATGCCGTGCATACTCTTTTATAATCATCTTCACATGGTATTTCGTGCAGGTTTACCAGTCAATAGTGATTTTAAAGGTCAATGAATGTTTGGTAGCTGATGCAAAGAAAAACAAGCAAGTGCGTTATCCTGGATAAGGGGGGACACACATTCTTAAAGCGGCACACTGCCCTACACCCCCCAATCTGTCCCAACAGAAAACGGACTTGTTTTAGTGAAAAACTAAAGACAATGCAGCGCCCGCTATGGGCTACTAGCTACAAAACCTGAAAAGATCTGTGCCAACATCACTGAGAATAGCTATATCTACGTGGTTGGATTATAGGTGTTCATTTTCTTCTACGTGTTTTTTTTTTTTTTTTAATTTTTTGTTTAAAGATTTTATTTATTTATTTGAGAGAGAGAATGAGAGAGAGAGAGCATGAGAGGGGGGAGGGTCAGAGGGAGAAGCAGACTCCCCGCCGAGCAGGGAGCCTGACACGGGACTTGATCCCAGGACCCTGAGATCATGACCGGAGCTGAAGGCAGTCGCTTAACCAACTGAGCCACCCAGGCGCCCCTACGTGTTTTTTTAGATCTTTCTATTTTTGTTACAAGAAATATGCATTACTTTCGTATCAGGAAAAGTATATTTCAAATATGTAATCAGGAAAGTATGTTTTTTAAACCCCAAAGCCTTCTTGAAACTATCTCATGCAATTATTAATTTCACAGGCTGCTTCTTCATGAATCAAAAATTAATGTTTTTATCACACCCTGAATTAGTGGACTTCCACAGCGTCTGCGTGCCTAATCTGTTTCACCCATTAGACTACACACGTGCATTTTCCAGGAGTCTGAGGGCAAGCAGGATGGCAGGGCGAGGCCCCAGGGCTCACGAGCCCTCCAGCTCCACTTACCCTTGCTCAGCCCTACTGTACTTGGGAGAGGAGCGTACTCACCTCACACGGGGCTCACAAAAAGGAAGCCAATCCCTGCATAACCCTTGGCCCGGGCCTGGTAGCGAACAGCAGTGGTTGTTACTGTTGTCTCTACTCATCCAGAAAGTTTTCTTTTCTTTTCTTTTTTTTTTTTAAAGATTTTATTTATTTATTTGACAGAGAGAGACACAGCGAAAGAGGGAACACAAGCAGAGGGAGTGGGAGAGGGAGAAGCAGGCTTCCCGCCGAGCAGGGAGCCCGATGCGGGGCTTGATCCCAGGACCCTGGGATCATGACCTGAGCCGAAGGCAGACGCTTAACGACTGAGCCACCCAGGCACCCCGAAAGTTTTCTATTCTAATTCTACCACTTCAGGTCCGGTACAGGCTGGGGTCCAAAGAACCCTCAACTAACAGGGCTGATTCAGCACAGATTTCTCCACCAGTGTAATGAGTGAGAGGTGATGAGGTACCGTGTCCCAAGGACCCGGGTTGCCTCCCTGTGGTTGGAGCCACCCGGCTGGCCACCTCTGCCCACAGCAGCCTCAGCTCTGTCCCAGTTACTAGACAAACACGAGCAGCTTTTATGTGCACCGAGGTCTGAAACGGTTGGGAAGCATGGATCCAGCACGCAGCTCACTTCTAGAAACCAGACGGCTATATTTTTGCTAATTCCTCCCAGCAATGCATTATAATGCTCACATGAGCTACTCAGAGTCTTAGGATTAAGGTATGAGCTATAATCCTAGGTCCAGGAATAAATCAACTCCTTTCTCTGCTGAACTAACCAGAGAGTATTTCCAAAATGGGGGGAGGAGGAGAAAGAAGCAGAGATGTTGATCTCAACAGAAAAGAACTCAGAAAGTATCCATTTGCATTTAATTGTGAAGATGAAGAATGAGAAGTAGATGAATATGGTGTTATCCTAGAAATAGACTGGAAAAACCTCATCAAATTTACGAGTCAAACCAACATGCCTACTGGGCATGTTGCAGAGGCTATGCAAGGTTTGCAACAAATCAAATGCTGTCATCTTCCGGACTTCTCTGTCCTCGGGGACAACACTCCAGAACACAGCCTTACAGAAGCTGTGTTTGCGGACATGAACTGGCCAGCACGTACACGGGTTTGTTTGTTTTGGTTTTCCCGTTTGAATTGTGAACTTAGGTGCTACAGGACAACGCCTCTGGACTGGTACAGTTGCTGGGATAGCCACCATGCTTTTTTTGAAAACTCCAGCTCTCAAAGCAAACGAAATAAACATAAACCCAAGGCTCACTCAACTTAAGACCTGCTCTCCTCTCGCGCACTGGCATCTCCCAGAGTTTGTGTCCTGCTTCATCAGGACACAAAGGCCACCCCCGTTCGGCATGCACAGTTCATCAGCCCTCATCCCCTGGGATCTTGCAGGGGCTCCAAGTGGGAGGGCGGACCCGTCAGCAGGTACTGACACGGATGCTTATGGTGGCAGCCCAGTGGGTGTTCACATCCACATTTTGGAGGCAAGTATAATGACTCCCCATCTCAGGCCTGAACAAAGGGTCAGTATCTGAACCAAAGCCTGCTTCCCTGAATGAAAACCCAGAAGGTGCCCAATAGGCCGCGATGCCTCTTGAGGAGACCCTCCTCTGCAGGACCAATGAGCAAACACATGTACAATCTCTTAACTCACACTCAATATTCCATCTGCCAGGGGCAGTGTCCTGCTGACTACCAGGCTGGTGCATCTGAATTTCCACCATGGCACAATGCAGGGTCTCTGCACACTCACACACGTACGCGCAACAGCGATTCAGAAAAGGAACTGCCGGGTCATTAAGAATGGTTGGGTTTCACTGTGTCCATGGTTTTGTCCCGGGTGAGGATCAGGAGTCATTTGCTCATGACTCCAAGCATCAGGAAGTTTTTATCAAGCATCTGGACGACTCTTCTAAGTTTGAGTCACAGCAACATAAAACCAGTAGCAACTTGAGAGAAGACAATGCTCAGGGCGCCCCTTGAGTGAGTGTATGTAAGCACACACAGGTAAAGAGCACGTGGCTTGCTCTGATAAATGGGCTTCAGAAACAGTGGCCAGGCTACAATAATATACAATCCCAGAAGGGTGAGCTGCCATCAGAATGTCTCCTTGCTTATTTCTAGTGCCCAGGAGGGGTGAGCAGTTGGAAGGCAGGCCTGACTGATCAACCAGCAGTAACCCAAGAGATACAGTGAAGTTTGGAACAAAGACTCTTCCCTCCCCAAACCTCTCCAGAGGAGAGAAATGTTGCCAGCAGGGATTAAATGGGCTCTCCCTCAAAAGCTCTTTTCAATGCAGTCATTCCCTGGTGAGTACTGTCTCAAGCCACTGAACCAGACAGTATGATCACAGTTCCTGTCTTCACTATGGCAGGTGCCGGAAGATGGAACACAGAAGCCCTGCCTAGGGAGGGAGCAGGTGCTGACCAAGAGCTGGCCATCTGCCGCCCACTCCGTGGTGCAGGCAGCCTGCCCTGAAGGGGGTACCTAAGGCAGGGATGGGGTCAGAGAAATAACAAAAAGTGCTCCCAGGTACAATGGGCCTGACTTTGTGGTGCTTCCATAATCTTCCTCATGCCCCTAGGAGAAGTGCACACACATCACGAAAGCAACAGGACTGTGAGACCCTGAACACTGACCCGTGTAATTTCCCTATGGCCTCTCCTAAATGCATCCTAATGGGGTCTGCTCCCTACCTGGGGAGAAGATGAAGGCCATTACAGAACACAGAGCAATCTTGCTGAGCATGGTTCTCCAAGGTGCTAAAAAGCTGCAATTCACTCTTGGTGATGCCAAAGGGACAAGGCCATACAAGGTCAGGGGACAGCAGTTATGTGTCTGTCTGGCAATCTCCCTCAACGGCCCTGTTTGGTCTTAACAATCAGTCGGGAGTGTTCATTATGCAGCAGGCTAGGCCAACACTCACAGCGAGGCCAGGAGGGGTCAAGTACTACTCTGCCAGTTTCTAGGTGTGGAGGGCAGGTACTTGGCGAGCATGCGGCAGCGCTAGGAAACAAGGCGACACTGGGTCTTCACCCCTAAAGGGTGAATACTATCTTCAAACATTTGACTTGTTAGCTGCTTGCTGAATATCTGTTTTTTGAACTAAAATATACATACCAACTATTTCATTTTTTAAAAGTATTCTGATGCTGGAAAATAAAACAAAACCTCGAGACCACTGGACTAGATGATTTTGGAGTTTTCTGTCTTTCTGCTCTGCCAATCTACGTTTTTATGAAGGGTGGCTTGTTTTGCAGACCCAGCCCTGTGGGTGGGCCACAGACTCCAGAGTCATACTCATGCACAGCCTGGAGCTCAAATACACACCAACCACTGACCACAGCATGCAGACAAATCCCCACATTTAAAGTCCCCACATTTATAAAAGCATTGCATACAAGTGCACAAAGGAAGTGCACTTTAATTCCTCCCTGACAAGTTCAAAGGACAGGTTTCTCCTGGTACCCAAAAGTAGGGTGTTCCTATGAAACCCTTCAGAAGCAGGAATGACATAAAATAAAGAAGCAATTACCATGAACTTACATGGAACCATTTTTGAGCTTTCCCAGATCCCAAAAATAACCTTTCTTAGGCTTTTCTGATACCTGCAGATACATCTTGCTAACATGAGCGGAATAATTCGAGATTAAGCTCAGATGCTCACAGACACAGGTCAGGGCTCTGGCACCCGGTGCAACGCTGAGTGGGGCTCCCGGGGAAGGGGCTCGGGGTGTCACCACCTCTGTCATGACTCACTGCAAAACAAACTTTGAACACTACTTTCGCTTTTTGGATGTTTTTGTAAAGGTGAAAATCCTCTTTGGTTCCAACTCATTCCATCCGCTGGAAGAAGACTCACGGGAGCTTCTCTTTCCATGAAGGACATGTTTGAAAATGGGTATGTGGGACAGAGTTTTCTGAGAAATCCAGTTCTATTTAGAATACATTAGGGTATTTCCATACATGAAAATGAACTCAGAATCCTGAGAATCCTTTGGAAAAGGGAAAACCTTCCTTTAGATCTTTAGAAAAGTTCTACCGTATGTGGCCTTCACAATGAAGGGACAACTTACACTTAAGAAAGGATGTATCATGTAAAAAAAAAAAAAATAAGAGTTAAAGTTATTAAAACAATTAATTAAAAATATGCCAAAGGATGATGGTTTCCCATTCTCTCTGGTCATTCTTTTTTCATTTGTTTCCAGACAGATAGCACAAATCGCACACCTAAAGTCTTGAATCTATCTTGCTGTCCTGAAAGGCTGAATATGTCTAACTATGAACAGAGCACGTCACAACACCACTCCTTGCTGGCTAACCACACCGCTCTAAGGAGAGGTTGGTAATTCCAGAGCAGAGCTGCGTGGACTGCTGGCTCTGGGTGTCCTCACCGACCGTGCGTGCCTCAGAGGAGTGCCGATGCCCTTGGACTTGCAGCTGCATCCTCTCTTGCCGAGACAAGCTTCCTCACCTGCAAGCCCCACCAGGGCCATCGGCAGCTGGACAGCCAGGTGTGGATTCAAACTCCACTTACTGGCTGAGGAGCTCAATCCAAGTTTTGTAGCCACTTTCCCATCTGTAAAATGGGTGACCCAGCCCTACCTCAAAGGGGTCATGAGAATGAGGTGAGATTAAACAGATCTGCGCTACAGGCTGAGCCCTAACAGAGGATGCCAGCACACCACAGGCACTCCTAGCCCACAGGGTCTGGCTCCTCTGCAACACCCACTGCAGCCCTGCAGGGCACAGCCTCCGGACTGCAGGGCGCCGTGCTGAGCGCTCAAGAGTCCAGAAGGGTTATGTCCACTAAGGAAGAAGGAAAGGCAGCAGAAGTTAGAGTTCTGAAAATCAGTCACTTTCGAGGGGGAACCCCAAAGAAGGTCTGATTTGCCCCAGACCAGGCCATTCCTAGAGGGGTCAACCCTGACCCCCCAAGACCAGGCCATACTCAGAGGGTCAGCCCTGACCCCTCAAGACCAGGCCATACCCAGAGGGGCCAGCCCTGACCCCTCAAGACCAAGTCACACTCAGAGGACCAACCCTGACCCACCCAAGACCAGGCCACACCCAGAAGACCAACCCTGACCCCCCAAGACCGGGCCATACCCAGAGGGGCCAGCCCTGACCCCCCAAGACCAAGTCACACTCAGAGGGCCAACCCTGACCCCCAAGACCAGGCCATACCCAGAAGATCAACCCTGACCCCCCAAGACCAGGCCATACCCAGATGGCCAACCCTGACCCCCAAGACCAGGCCATACCCAGAGGGCCAACCCTGACCCCCCAAGACCAAGTCACACTCAGAGGGCCAACCCCGGCCCCTCAAGACCAGGACATACCCAGAGGGCCAACCCTGACCCCCCCCCCCCGAAACCAGGCCACACCCAGAGGGACCAACCCTGACCCCCCCCCCACCACAATACCAGGCCACACCCAGAGAGGGCCAACCCCACCCTTTCTGGTAGCTAATAATAAAATCCTGAGTAAAAAGATTTGTTTTAACGTCTTAAACGTTTACCTTTTCACAATCTTCACATGGTGGTTTATTTTCCTTGGTTTTGTCCTTATTTTTGTGTCTAGGTGGGATTACGGATAACAACTTTTCTTCCTTCCTGCTCGTCTGTGTTTTCTTACTTTCTGTTCCTGGCCATGCATCCTGCCAGAGCAGGAACACAAACACCTCTCCACCACAGGAAATGCACCCATGTTTCTTCCTCCTCAGCAAGGATCCAAACTAAGGAGGGAGACAGAACCCCAAGGGGGCCCGGTCTTGGACCCATGGCTCTCCCTGCAAGGGAGCAGAGTATTTGTGAGATGAATACCAGGGGAGGGACGGTGTGAAGCCCATGCTGGGCCCGCCTCTCAGAACTCGGGCACCGCCTTTGGCCACGCTCTCCCCACATCAAGAGGCATAAGCTCCACTCGTCTGCCGGGTGGCCACCAGAACCAGACATGACCCTGCCCTCCAGGGGCGCGGTCCCTCCCTGACCTCAGGCCATCCAGAAGGAGCAGGAGCAGTGCTATGGAGCAAGGGGCTTACATCACATCTGCTCCTAAGTCCCAGCTCGAAGGGGCAGGTGGTATTCCCAGACAACAGTGACTGTAACACTCCCCCAGGCAGACAGGAGTCCTTGAGCAGGTGCGCTAAGCAATGTGATGAGCCCAGCCGAATCTACAGACTACTGGGTGCAATTAGCCTAGACCCCAGGCTTCTCAAAAAGCACAGAGCCCTTCTTCCACAAGGTCTTCCCAAACCTAGTGCTGTGACAGGAAGCGATCCATACACTGTTCCCACATGTAGAGCCCTCAGCGTCCCAGGGAGAAGCACACTATTAACTTGACCACCAGTGTGACTCCTCCATCCCCGCAGCGATCATCTGTTGGGGCCTCCTGTGTGTGCAGCACAAGCCAGACATCCCACAGCAGAGGCAGCTTTCCCGTGAGTGACTGTCCCTCACAAGGAAGGCCCCTGCTTTGCAGGGACACCCTCCTGTCAGGGCTCTTATCAGGGACACTTAGCCACAGATCAACTGTACACACAAGGGGCTGCTAATGGGAACATGACTTCGCAGTTTTCAGAGCAATGCTACCCATGCCATTAACCTCCCAAGACCTCTGTGGACAGAAATGTAAATGCTGACAGATCCAGATTTTTCTAGATGCTATATTCCTGAGCTCATGAGCCAGATGACGTGTACAGATGCAGTGCTAGTATGTGTTTGAAAAGAGAACCCTGGCTATGGCTAGTGCCTGGGTGTGTATCACTGTTCGGGGCATACAGTCAGTGCTCAACGAATGCTGGCTATAGTATTACTAAATACTACAATTATCATGAGGTCATACCTTGAGGAAGTAGGTATTACCTAGAGACTCACTAGACTCATTTAATAAAAACCAAGAGTTCAATTAAAATGTCCTATTTGCCCACCAGCTTTAACCTATATAAAAACTCACTAAGAAATACCACAAGACTGAAAGCACAAGCCAACATTTGAGAAACACGACAGTATTCAAACTTATTATGCAATAAAATGCAACACGTGCCCCTCAAGCACTCAGGTTAGTCTTCTCAAGTACCAACATATCCAGAGGTTGTTCTCTGTATCTGGTAGACCGTCCTAAATTGTGGAGTCAAGTATTCTGGACTTGACTTGAAGTCCTATAAAGATAGGTCCTTTCCAGAACTCATTTACGTTTCTTAAAATGAATGGATAATATGAGTCAATTGCTCAAAGTAGCTTAGAAAGCAATCAGTGTTTCCTCTGAGAAAGAAGACAGAATAAATAAATACCTCCATCAGCACAGTATTCTATGGGGCTTTAATGTTGGTATTTCATTAAAGACATGAGGAAAAAAGCTCCTGACAACTCTCTTCTGCGAAAAAAAGATGCTCAGGGACACTCAGTGGCAGGCATGTTGACACGCCTCTTCCGCCATGCAAAACATGACCATCTGAGCTCACCGGCAGGCAGGATCCTCGGCCTCAGAATGCTGCTCTCAGGGACAGACATCCAAGTCTCTTAAGTCCTCGGAGCATAGGCCACATCAGCTGACTCCAGTCTGCAATGATTTGCCCCCATGCCCTCCCTCCTCTACCAGAGGGCACGTCCATGAGGATGTCAGAAAGCTGGTCCAAGCTCAGAGACAGTGACCGCAGCCTAGCTGGGCCCTCGCCTAGAGTCACAGTGCTGTGACAGATGGGTCACAGGTTCAAGGCACACAGAGGCAGAGCCAGGGTGGGAACCCAGACCCTCCACCTCTCAGTCTCACGGGCTCCTTCTGCTACAGTATGCAGGTGAGCAGATCCGCAACATGACGTCATCCATGGGAGAAGCCCCCAGTGTGGCAATGAATAATTAAGAAATCAGGAAATAGTAAATAACTATAAATAACAATTCCTAAAAAGTTTCAAATTAAAACAATCAAATTCATTTTTATACCTATTAAGTAACTCAAAGTAAAAATAATAATAATAATAATAAAGTTCACTGATTTGGAGGCTTCAGGAAAACAGAAGCACTTACTAACTGCTGGTGAGCAATCAGGCAATAGAGAAATGTACCGTTAATAGCCATGCAACAGCATTCCACACTGGAGCATTTATCTCCAGGAAATCGTTTTTAAAAAAGGACATACACAGGAAAAGCTGTTGATAATACTATTAATTTATAGTAGTGGGAAACTAAGCTTCTCCAGTAGCCACTGTCGGGCAAACTTAATCACGGCATTTCACTTCTGTATGGCGCTATGCATTTGATGGAACGGGCGTTCTGCGCATCTACACCCCAAGCCCCCAGAACGCAGCTCCATACCTGCTTCATGTAGGCATAGCACATGGTCTCGGCAACGCGCTTCCCTTCATCGTAGCAGGCTCGGGGTCCTATTGGATTCACATGGCCCCAGTATTCCTCACTCTGAGGGTGGACTTCAGGATCTAGGAGTGTGGGAAAGTGAGACTGTGTGTTCATCAAGTTCATATGCATTCTGAATGATGAATATTTATGATGCACAAGATTGCTCTAGAAAGACCAAGGTAAACATTTACAAATGGGGAGATACCTATCAATGTGGCACAGTCCATTCTCCCCAGTTCCAGAGGGATGCACTCTTCTTACCTCCCGTATTAAGTAAAGACAGTGTTTTACAGGGAAAAAAATAACTTATAAGACCAAGGTGACTCAATTGCAAGTCTCCCCTCTCCCCCGTAAATTGTTCTTAACATTTAATTATACAAACTATAATTAAATGTAATCTATGTGAAGGAATATATGGTTCCACTTTATAAAATAATCATAGTAAAGCATGTACTTACTGAAATAATTTTAAGAGCATCTCTGTGGAACACGTGGACTTTCCCATGTGCCAACAACATGAGAACAAACTTGAGGAGCTCACTGAGAACCTCAGTGAGACGATCAGTACCCTGGTCTGTGTAGGCAGAAGGACAGAGTGTCCTAAGGCAAATGACTGCTTGACCCTTTAGCACACATTTTATATTCCCAATTCCTGCTTTTCTCGTGTGTAAATCAATCACATTTTAAGATGTGCCAAGGGGACAGACTATTTAAAGAAACCTAGTAACAAATACTTTTGTAACACAAATATATTTTTGAAATGTGAATTAAAACCTTATGTATATGGTACATACAGCCATAGTATAAAATGTATAAATCTTTGCCAAGAAATCTGAACAATGTACAGGAGCTCTATGTTATAAATTCATTTCTTGCTTATCTTAAAGCCAAAATCTGACTTCAGCTCATGGGGACAATGGGACCCACGCAGCTCAGAGACATGAATACACAGGTGCCGAAGCCGGCCGGCCCCCTTCAGGAGGCTGGCACTCCCCTGCAGTGTGATGGAATCAAGGCACAGACTCAGACCTCTCTAGCCACTGCTGTGGTTTAAAATTCTCTTAAAAGGGGGGCACAGTTTTACTGCAGGATGAGAGAAAAGGTCTATGGCGAATATTCCCTGAGAGAAGAAAACCAGTGACTTAATTTCACACAGATGTAACAATCAAGAGACCTTTTTGGGGATTTTTGACAAGAGCTGGGCCACCTAGACTCCAGAGAGACTGTCATAAATTGAGCAAATGGCAAGAAAGAGAAGATCAGGCATACCCCTGACTCTACTCCTTGATGGGCACCCCTGGGCTGAGGTGTCCAGATGCCCAAGGTTCAAGACACAGCTTTATAAAGTCCCCACACCTTGTCGTTAAAAAAGATCTAGAGTCGAAATTGATTTCCAATTAGTCTTCCCTTCTCGGTATGTTGCGAGGGTAACCCACCAATCACCCCTCCACGAAGCATCCGTTTACTGCAGTGATCAAACACCGGAGCCAGCCAGTTACACCCTGATGTCATTTAAGAACCCTAAGGAACATGAGGTGTCATCAAATATGCAGATAATAAATGAGGCAACGGAGGAAGAAGGCTGGACAGGGAAAACATGTCATTGTGCCCTCTTGGACCAATAAGAGGAGTACCTTTATATTTGAGACATTTAAAAAGCTTTAGCCCTTTGAACTGTATCAACACCACTCCTCTTGTCACACAGAAAGCAAAAGGGAATCATCCAATGCCCTATAAAGGGAAACATACTGATCCCTTGGTAAGTCTTGCTACGGAAAGGACAGGAAGAAGAAATGCAAGTCCACTCAATGCCCGTTCCAAAAGCAACTGGCCAAACAGGTTGGCGGTGGACGCTTTTAACTGCCAAGATTTCAAAGTGGATTGTGCTCCACCTTTTCACAGGGATTACAGAGAACAGAACTGCATTTAGAATTTGTTTCTATTTTTTTTTCACTCGGTTCCCTTATTAAAAAAAAAAAAAACACATCTCTTCCTATGTGATCCCTTGCCCCGTGACTTCCTCATTTCTTCATCCAAAACAGTAATGTGCAGTAGACAAATTACACCATGTCAGAGTCCAGATTCTTCTGCTTCAACTGAGCAGTTCTCCACAAACCTGCACAAGCCTGCACTGGTTGGTTTGGGGCCGAACAGAAATCAATGTGAACTGAACCACAGCCCTCACCCCACTCCGAATGCTGACTGCCTTCAAGGCCTCGACGGGGGTGAAGTGCTGCAGGTTGGCAAAACAGGCTCAGGAGTTTTCTGGCACTACCTACTTAAGATTCTTCCAGAAATCATTATACAACAGGTGAGGCAATCAGCACCTATCTCTTTGCCAAGCGAGCAAAGGCCAAGCTCTGCGATCTTGGTGGGTCAGGCTCACGGCACCCACTGCTCACACCGAAGAATAACATGGACCAGCTAAAAAAAGTGGCAAAAGAAATCCCTGACCAATGATCTCCGGGGTCTTTTCATAGCAGAATGGAAAAAATACTTCCATGGGTTTGTCCGAGGTGGGGCTTACTGGCCAGGTGACAGGACACGGTCCTCCAAGAGCGTTCTTCAGCAGGAGGAAAGGGGTTCGGCCCACTGAGAGCAGACATGGATGGCTGAGCCGGGAAGGCTCTCTGCTGCCTCGCACACAAACAGGGAGAGCAAGGTGGGGCCTTCTTACAGTGGAATCCTGGACTCATTTTTGCTTCCTTCTTCACCTAAGACAGTCCCATGGGCCCAGAGCCAGTGCCCTGTGGGAGCCCCGCCACTCACCTCCATACACCTCCGAGGTGGAGGCCAGCAGCAGACGAGCACCGACTCGTTTGGCAAGTCCTACAGAAAGCAAAGATAGGATCAGAGAAGCTGTCAGCTTCAGGGAAACGAGGAGATGACATGTGCATGCCCATTTTTGTAGCCAATTTATGAAATTTTTTAGTATGAATCGTCTCTGATCATTTGTGCACGGTGAACCATCCACTCACACTGCCATCTACACTGGAACAAAAATAAAAACAAAACCAGAAAGAAAAACACAAATGAACCCTCGGAATCACAGTATTCAGTCCGATACTGATAAGTGGAGGCAGGGGCAAATGGAGAGTCTGTTAGTTTGGGAAGGTGGATTCAGGGTTACCGCTGGTAGGCAAAGGCAAGGCCGTTTGCACCCTCACTTCCACTATCCCCCCCACAAGCCGGTCCACCTGCCACTTCCTCAACACGCCACCTGGCGTTCCGAGTGTGCCTGAGCTAGTCTCCCCGGCAGGGCCCCTCCACCCTGTCCTCCTGCCTCCTTGAGGCTCAGTTTCAACAGCCCCTTCTCCAAAGAAAGTCACCACATTCCTGTGTCCAGCTCTGAACCGTGTCCTGCATAAGCCCCCTGCAGGTAGAACAGGCTAGAACATCGTGCTCTATGGTGGTCATATAAGTAGGCAAAGTCCTCCAGACACAAACTCCCAGTGTTAAGCAGTTCCTCAGAGGCTCACAGCAGCCCTGAGCCAGAGAAACCCACTGCCCTTCGCTTAACCCAGGGTCTCCCGAATGTACTCCCTCACGGAGCCTTTGTGCACAGACATCACCAGACCGAGGGGCCAGCTGTGCCATGCACTGAGGTGCCCGTGAAGTGCATGTACACACCACCTGCAGACGCTTCTAGGGGCGGCCGGCGACCTAGAAAGGCCCCAGTGTGCGGGGCCTGGGGGAGGGGGGGTGTGGGAGCACCGGGGGAGGGAAGCAGGGAGCTGTGAAGAGGGAAGATGAGCAACAAGAACAAGAGAATCAGGCTCTGAACAGTAAGGATGTGGAGATCATCTGTGCAAACGCCACAGTGCAGTGGAACAAAAAGTGTTAGAGGGACATAGCAGAATATGGAACTTACGGGCTTTATAACTTATACCACAATGATAGTAGTTTCAAAAGGAAGGATCCCGAGCTGGTTTGTTTTTTGTAATAAACTTTTAAGACAACTGTAGATTTACATGCAGTCGTACAAAGTAATACAGAGGAACCCTGTGTACCGTTTACCAAGTTCCTCCCGACAGTAAAACCCTGCAAACTAGAGTACGACATCACAAGCAGGACAGTGACACGGATACACTCAGGACATAGAGCATCTGCATCATCACAAAGACCCCTCAGTGGGGGAGCCAGGGGAGCCCATGTGCGCCGCTCAAGTGCCCAGGTGTTTATGCAGAGACTGGACAAAGAAGTCTCATCCTGAAGAAGCCGAGCACAGGCCCAGAGAAGGGGGGAGCCACAGACAGGGAAGGGCCCCACCAGGAAGGGGCCGTGTGGGGTTTGTTGCATCTTGTCTCAAGTGCAGAATGATTAATGACAGCACCTCTCTCCGATCAGAATACGAAGTCCCGCTTAGGGTCTCTGGCGCCTAGCAACTCTCCCTCCACTTCGGGTTTTGTCCTTGTCGTTCCTGAAAGGAGTTTACCCTTCCTTCCAGACTTCCAGGTCCAATCTCAGCCATGGCTCAAGGGTCCCTTCCGCCTGGAACTCTAACAGCTTTCACTGGAACAATCCCTTCTTCCTCGGTGTCACTGGTGCCTGGCCCATATATCACCTCCTCCAGGGAACACCAAGGCCAAGCTCCCTGCCAGAAGAGCCTGAGGATGAGCCTAATCTGAGGGCAGGACAGTGCCTTGGGCACAGTGACTGCACCATGAATGCTATCTTCTGAAACAGCCTGGGCTTCGTGGCTTTTCCCCAGTTGTATCTAGCTCGATACGAAGGAGGCAGCCAGGGAAGCAGAGAGAGCATGGGCAGGGGCAGGAGCTGATGGCGGCAAGAACAGGCAGCAAGCAGCTCTACCAACATCTCACCTCGGAGCAAAGTGGGGACTCTGTTTCATCTGGTGGCCAGGGCATGGGTTGCAACAAAGAGGAGAACAAATGCCCTTTCTAGACTAGGAGAATGAATCATTTCACTTCACATGGAGCTTGACCCCCCAGAATGTTTAGTCTGAGAGATCCGAAAACCAATCTCCGGCTGCCCTTTCAATCCCTTGTCTCCCAGCTTCCCCAAATGAAAATTTAGTGCTATATTTACCAAAATCCATTCATAGAAGCTGTTTTAAATGTTCCCATAATTAAATCCATTTTTCACTTGACATTTTAAAAAGTGGTTCCTTTTTTCCACTTTGCAACTAATCAAACCCCTAGTTTTTGAAACCCGTGTCAAACTTCAGATGTCTCTAATTTAAGCATTAATATGTACATGTCACCCACAGCTATAAATCTGAGGCATGTTGTTTGTGAACGTGCACGGGTGGCCACCTTTACTGGTGTTCATGCTGTCACCTTTCACCTTCAAAGTGAATACCACAGTTCAATCTAGACTCAGGTACTCAGCTTGGACAACCTCATCAGGTCGGCTGCTCTTCTGCTCCTCCCAGGAGCGCTCCTGACAGGCCGTTGTGTGCAGTCCACACAAACCCAACCCTGGATCAGAGTCGCCAGTGCCTCTTCCAGCCCAGAGGCACACACACACCATGTCACAGGGGAAAGGGAAGAAGGATGCATGGTCACAGTGACGGGTGGTCACTCCCAGGGGATTTAACTGAGGCAATGCAGACCTGTTACTATGACTGTGCCCCCTGTGAAAACTGATGGCTCATAAACGCACTCTGAAAGAGCATGGACAGGGGATGAAGGAGGGGTCTAAAGACCAAGATCAAACTCTAACAGAATGTTAATGACCTATGCCTGGAATTGTCTAGAACATTCCTAGCAACAGCTGCGAAATAAGGAAAGGACAACTTACCCAGCATGTTTAGTGTCCCAATTGTATTGGTCTTCAGGGTCTTGATGGGGTTATACATATAGTTTGGAGGGGAGGCTGGAGAGGCCAGGTGGTATATCTGGTCAACTAAAGGAGACAAAAATGGAAGTATGTAATTTCCAAGGAAAACACTAAAAACATTCTGAACTCCTAAGAATCAGGCTGTATGATAAAGGCATTTCTATATCTTTCACTGAAGTTCCAGTTGTTACTCCTTTATTCTTCATAAAAACAAATTTGCTTTTGCATTTAGAAGAACTTTAAACAAAAACAGCAAGTCTAACTATCAGGGCCTGTTCTCCTCTAATCAGAGGCAATCTGATTACCGAGTTGACTGTTTCTGAGATCTGTCCCAGATACGGCATGTAAATCAGAAGGAAGACCGATTTTTCAGACACTGAATGAAGCATGACTATCTAAAGCAAGCAAGGTTTTTAATTTGTAAAACCAATCTGACATAAAAGCATTAAAATATGCTTTACTTGCTTTGTTTTCACATATTTTGTGTACATAAAACCAGACCCTGAGATGACAGTTGGAGGGTCGCTTTTGTTTGTTTTCGTTGACTGATTATTTATTGAGGATCTGCTCAGTGGCTCATGAGCAAAACCAAGGTTAGTAACAAGATTTCAGTCATCAAATGCCTATCTCAGGGAGGACACAGGCGGAGATACAAAGACCAACTGCCAGCTCTGGAGTATGCTGGTCTGATGAAGGAGACTGAGCGAGGGGTCTGGCCTCTAGGTGGACCTGGCTGTGTAGAGAGACGGGCTAGGAGTTCATTCACGCTTGGGCTACTTGGGAATGAGGGTGCTGTGCACCAGGGATAGGAAAGGACAAGAATTTCTGCCGAGGCTCTGAAAGATCTAAGTGACAAGTTCGATATGGCGACAGCGTATGAGACTTTAAATACCAGGGTAGAGTCTGAACTTGCGCCGGTAATGAAGACCGTGGAGTTCTGAGCAGGAGACATTTTGAGGACACAGATTTTGACACCAAACACTAAGCAGCTGATAATGCATTATAATTACTACCATAATTTTGAGGGTAAAGTACCATTATTTCTGTTCTACACAAGAAATTAAGAAGCTTGCTGGTGAAGCAGCTGAATAATGACAATGCCAGGATTTGAACCCAGTTCAATATAAATCCAAACCCAGAGCTTTTTGAGCATTATATGGTACTGTTGTCAGTTCAGCTAGAGTCAGGAGAGTGGTTTTTAAATTTTTTTTTTTTTTAAGATTTTATTTATTTATTTGACAGAGAGAGACACGGCGAGAGAGGGAACACAAGCAGGGGGAGTGGGAGAGGGAGAAGCAGGCATCCTGCTGAGCAGGTAGCCCGATGTGGGGCTCGATCCCAGGACCCTGGGATCAAGACCTGAGCCGAAGGCAGACGCTTAACCGACTGAGCCACCCAGGTGCCCCAGGAGAGCGGTTTTTAAAGCTATGAATGGCAAAACGACTGGGTTCTGCACAACTCCCCTCGTGCACAGGCATCCGCTGTGACATCACCATCCCCGACCCTTGCTCTCCAGGGTCAGGGAGCACCAGCCACACAGCAGAGAGGCCCCGGGGAAGCAATGATGAAGAAGCATGTATCCCAAGGCCATCCCTGCAGACAACCAAGTCTGTCCAGTGCCGTCCCACTTCAGCTCCAGGTGAGAGAAAATATCATCACCATCATGGGGGATCCAAGACACTGCTGCCAAAGTGAACCCTCCCTGTACACAGCTTCAGCCCCCAAGCAAGAAGGCCTGCGGGGACCTCCCTGGCCTCCCACCCTCTTCCCAACTAGGGACCATTGCTCTCTTTTAGGTAACGGCACATTAAGGGCTGGGTTTCAGAAACGACAGGCAAAACAGGCCAATGGGGAAAAACTGTCCTCATGGTGAATTCTCCAATATAACTTTCTCAGAAAACATCCCTTCCCACCCAAAAATGCCCAACCTCCCCACCCACATCCACTCACTACTCATTTCCCACTGAAAATCTCCTGTCATGCCCAGGATGGCATGGGAATCACCGCAGTGCCTTCTGGGGGCCGGGGTGACTTCTGAACACACTCTCCCACCCAGGGGTGAGAGCCGGGTGACAGGTTCTTATCTTCAGAAGAGGGACAGAAGTGGTGACTCCACACAAGTGCATGATATTCTAGGCTGTGAGCTTGGTCTCTACCTTAATTCACCCTAATTATCTCAGTCTTTCAAACCCAACACAACTGGGAGGCTCAGTTCACATGAGCCACTAAGACTAGGAGAAGGGGGAAGCCAGATGGTTCTATGCAGATAGTATCTTTGGGAAGGGTTCTAGGAACTGCACAGGCTCATGGAACACCTGGTAATGGCTTTTCCTATACAGTGACCATACCTCAAGGGAGGCAAGAACAACCTGTAAAAGACTGCAGCTCTCATCTTCTGGATATTTATTTATGAGACTTTTTTGGCTAAGACTATTCAGGCCAACTCCTGAAGTGATTGTTTTAAAAAGTCTTCTTATTTTAAAAATACTTCTGCAACACCATCACTATCAAAACTTCAACAGTGATTTTTGCAGAAACAGAAGAAAAAAAAATCATCCTGAAATCCGTACATAATTTCAAGGGACCCTGACTAGCCAAAACAATTTTGAAAAAGAACAAAGTGGGAAGACTTACATTTTCTATTTCAAAACAATACAAAGCTACAGTAATCAAAGCAGTGTGTTACTGGCATAAAGACAGACACACAGACCAGTGGAAAAGGATATGGAGTCTAGAAATAAATCCTGTGTACATGGTTCAGTGATCTTCAACAAGGATACCAAGCCACTCAGTGAAGAAACGACAGTCTCTTTAACAAACGGTGCTGGGAAGACTGACTATCTACACGCAAAAGAATGAAGTTGCATCCTTATCTTACACTACATACAAAAATTAACTTAGAACAAACAAAAAGAACAAAACGTAACACCTAAAACAATAAAACTCTAAGAAGAAAACAGGGAAAAAGCTGCAGGACATTAGATTTGGCAAAGATTTCTTGGATGCGACATCAAAAGCAAAGGCAACAAAAGCAAAAATAGAAAAATGGAACCACGTCAAATTTCATTACTTTTCTGACAGTATCAAAGGACCCAATCAACAGTAAGAGGGCAAACTACACAATGGGAGAAAATATCTACAAGTCATATATACGAAAAGGTGTTAATATCTAGAATATATAAGGAGCTCCTATAAATCAACAACAGAATCGAGTGACTCAAAAAATGGCAAGGCACTTGAATGAGTAATTCTCCAAAGATGACATACAAATAGCCAACAAGCACATGGAAAGAAGTTCAACATCACTAATCATCAGAGAAAGGCAAATCAAAACTACAATGAGGTATCACATCGCACCCATTAGGATGGCTACTATTAAGGAAAAAAGAAAGGAAACCGAAAATAGCAGGTACTATAGAGGATGTGGAGAAAGTGGAACTTTGGCGCACTTTGGTGGTGATACAAAATGGTGCAGTCACTATGGAAAACAGCGTGATGATTCCTCAAAGTACACAAACAGAATTAACATAAGAGCAGGAATCCCACTTCTGGGTATATACTCCCAAGAACTGAAAGCGGGGCCTCAAAGAGACATTGGCACACCCGTGTTCACAGGAGCACTGTCCACAACAGCCACCTAGTGGAAGCAACCCAAGCATCCAGGGACAGATGAACAGATAAAGAAAATACAGTGCGTGCGCGTGTGCACACACACACACACACACGGAGAAATGTTATCCAACCTTAAAATGAAAAAAAAAAAATTCTGTCACATACTACAACAGGGAGGTACTTTGAGGACATTACCCTAAGTGAAATAATCCAGTCCCAGAAAGACAAATCCTGTAGGACTCCACTTATATGAGGTACCTAGGGTCATCAGACTCAGAGACAGAGGTAGATCAATGGTTCCGGGGCCTGGGGGAGGAGCGTTATTGTTCAATGGGTTCAGAGTTCCAGTTTTGCAGGTGAACAAGTTCTGGGGATCTGTTCTAACACAATATGTTTACCACTACTGCCTAGTACCCTTGAAAATGGTCAGGATGGCAAAAAAACTAAGATACTCATGAGCAGTAAAAGCAGATGAAAAGAGTATTAGTGGAAAAGGGGTGTAAGTTTTACTAAGGCTGAAGTCAAAATGAATGCTTTGGGTTTATATATTTGTTCTCCTCCCTTTCTCTACCCTGGGAATATAAGAGCTAAAATCAGGCTCCTGAGCCACTGCCACTCACTCAAGATTCCCAATCAATCCTTGCTATACAGCAGTTACCCAGTGAAGCTTTTGAATGAGGGATACCTGGACCCCTGGCATCCAGATGCAGACACTCCAGGTGGATATATTTATGTACATATATATATACACACACACTCATATACATACACAGATGTACATATACACCACACAAACACTTTTAAAGCCACATCTGAAAACTACTGATTTAAAAAGCACCCATGCTTTCGAAAGACTAATCTTTCTTCAAGAGAACTAAGAAAACCCAAAACCTTTTGAAATTGTTTAGTCTTAACATGCAAATTCATTAAGAGGAACATCCTGTGAATGCTTTCTGACCGCCCCCCCCCCCCGCAAGTTATTCTGAGTTGATAAACAGCTACAAATAAAAAGCAAACAAAAAGTTTATTATGTGAAGTATAAGTTAACAAGCCAGGTCTCACAGAATGCCATCCTTCTTAGGCTGTTTTACCCTTTGCAGCCTACAGACAGGACCAGTAAGAGCACGGGTCTGTCCCTGCTCACCTGTTTCAGAGCTCAAGGACTGCAGGTGTGTGCAGCAGACCACCAACTCCACACGCACGTGCTGCACCTCCTCCCTGGAACACACCTCATCACACCCCAGTGCCACTCTAGAGCAGGAGGGGGCCAGGCCTTCGGAGCTGAGCGCCACCCAGGAGAGCACATGCCAGCGTGCCTGGCCCCTGGAGCTGGCGCCCTTCAGATACCTGCTCACGAAGGTGCCGCCACCACGTGCTTCCCAAAGACCATTTAAATCAAGGGTATGGGTCGTGATCTCACAGAATAAATCATTTAGCACTGTTTTTACTCTTGA